ATGATATACCTGTCAGATTAGATTAGATTTATTTAGATTAGATTAGGGTTTTAATTAGGATAAAGTCCAAATCTGTCTAAGTACAAATACAAACGGATAATTTCTATAATTGTAAATATTTGGATATAATTTAAAGATAAAAATATATTTCTTAATTTCCATCTTTCACTCCTAAAAGGGCAGGTATTTTTCGGTACAGAAAGGCATTAAAAAGTGACTTTTCCGAACACAAAAAGTTGCTCACTCCGGATCTTCTGCAGAATTTGCTTCATGCAGCCGCGGTGGTTTCTCCTCTCCTGCTGCTGACCGTCCAGCGTCGGACTCGGGTAAACTCCTCCTCGGGGGATGTGAGGGCTGCTGGCCCCGCCGCTGTAGCTGCCCAGGCCGCTGCTACAGCCGCCGCTGGAGGCCGTGGACACCGACCTCCTCCCGGGGCTCGCCGGAGGCCAGTCCGCTTCCATGATCTCATCCTCGGGTTCGAAGACTGGGTTGTCCCGGCTCCATGCTTGTCTGGACGGAGGAGACGGGGTGCCCGTCGTGACCCCGCCGAGCCCCGGCTCCTGATGCTGGATGTTCTCCATCTCTATGCCCTCGCTTGAGTCTAGTTTCAGCGGCAGCTGCTGCTGCTGTGGTCTGACTCTGGATGAGCTCATCGTCCGAATTAGAGTTTTTAAAAGTATCAGACGTGTGGCATCTGAAGAAAAAAACTATACTTCCGAAAACAAAAACCAAAACTCTACTTCAGGAGTTCATTTTAGGGTGTTATCCATCTGTTGGATAACACCCCAAAATAAAAACGACTTCGCAGAAACTTCGAGACGAATAACCAAACAACCCACATGCACTCAAAAGTCACTATAAATAGGCTAACGACTCGAACTACCGCCTGACGTTTGGCTCCAGGACAGTTTCCACTTTCTCCAAAGTGTTGAAAACACTCAAGAAATGGGAAAAAAAAAAAGTAAAGCGAACCTTAAAATTCGGCCGGAAAATCAAACTCCTTCCTTAAAAAAACGACGCATTTTTAACAAGCTTCGCGTTGCATTAGGCAGATGTTCACGCGGGGTCAGCGTCGGCGTTAAAACTGGGGTTAAAATAGAAGAAAACGATGAGATTTACAGTCCTGGGGCAGCCATCTTGTTCCCAAACTGTCCTCCGCTCGCCTCCTCCTTCTCTCTCTAATTTTCCTCCTCCTACCCTTCCACAAAAAAAGGGAAAAACTCCATTAAAAAGTCACGGCTCCACAAAGAAAATGGAAAAACGACTCAGCGGAAAACTGGTCTAATGGTTAAAAATGACATATCGCAATTAGTTCCATTTAAAAAATATTACTCGTTTTAGGCTTGAATTAAAGAAAGGGGAAAAAAAGAAGGAATTCGTTTTAGGCTTGAATTAAAGAAAGGGAACAAAAAAAAGAAGGAAACAAACAACCACGGAAAGAAATAAAAAATAAAAAACAATTAAAGATATAAGAAAGAGGGAAAGTGAAAACTTTGTTTTACCCTCACTAACTTAATGACTGTTTAATTAACATCACTGACGTCATCTCCCTCCCTGTGTTTGGATCAGCGGTTGCTGTGGCAACAACGAAGAAGCTGCTGCGTTTTCAAGGAGACCGTTGACCCCAGAAAACAAACAAACAAACAAACGAACCTACACGAGGTTCGGTAGTTGTTTAGATAGAAGGATACATTGTATTTATACAAATGACACTACAGTATATAGTATATGTAGTATATATATATTAAATATCATATGGTAATTTTGTTTAAGGATAATATGTTATTGTAAAGTGGAATAATTAGTTTGATATGTCAAATATCATTATTACACGTAATGCACTACAGAAATGTAGCAGCATTTGCAGATGTTTTACACGGGCGTGCGGTACTCTTTTTAACCACTAGAGGGCACTACTGCAGCAGCAGAAAATCATCATAACTCAGGATCTCAATAAGATCGTTAGTTTGTTTTTGTTTTTTTTACATCCGTGTGAGGTTAAAGAGTAAACATTTTCCATTTAAATTGTAAAAGGAAAATACCTTTCAATGAAATATTGCTTTAATTTTTTGTTAGAACCAGAGGTTACAAATTAAGAAGTTGATTCTACTACTGAAGAACAATTGACCTTTGTGTTACTCTTTCCTCTCCTCTACTTCTCATTTTGTCTCATCATTAAACCAAACACGAATAAATTGAAGTTTGCTGAACACATTCAAAATTACATTTGAAAAGGGGACGAGAAAAAAATAATAGAATTTTTTTTAAAAACAACGAAGCAGAATCCCAATCAGGTTTAGACGAGGCTGCCTTTAAGGCACTGCTTAGGACTAGAATATTGTGTTGGATCAGGTTTATACAGGGAAACTCCAGCTATGTGTACCTTTTATCTATTTATCCCATGACAAAGAGTCTGGCCTAAATTAAATACTAACAAGAATTTGTCCCGGTTACAAAGGTTTAACTGTATCAGGGGCAGGAATCTACTTAAAGAAAAGAAAAAAACCAACAAAGTCATTTGGGCCTGGAAAGAAAAATAAAGAAAAATAATAAGTGTGTAATTAAAGCCTGTGGCTCCGGTGTAATCTAGTAGAAGAAATGATTTATCTTGTTACACACTTCATCTAAGAAAGGTCACGACCTTCACCACACCACTGCTGTTTACTCTCCTGGACTGATGAGACGGAACAGACTGGCCTTTGTTTGGAACAAAAGCTCTTTCACAATGTCAGTCCGGGAGTTAATCAGCTTTTGGTTTTAATTGTAAGAAAACACACAACAAATGAAAGGCCATTTTTATTCCAATACATTTTAGGGAAAATAAATGGAATACAAACAGATGGCTGATTTTTGTGTGTCCTCATTTTGCTTGTCTGCAGAATTTCCACCATGAAATTTGTATTAACTTGAACTTTGTTGTTTAAACACTCGCTGGTGTATTTTTAAGATTGAATATGTTGTTTGGTGCTGTTTAAACACTCGCTGGTGTATTTTTAAGGTTGAATATGTTGTTTGGTGCTGCATTCACTGTGTCTTTTTTATACTTTTTGTAAAAAAAAAAAGAAAAAAGGAGAGCTGTTGTACAGTAAGTCAGAACGACAGAGAAATGGGAATCTTTAGCTTCATATGAAGTTAAAATCTGTTATTTATACTAAGCATGAAGAGAGTAAAAATTTCCGATAATTATAAAAAAAAATTGAAATCTGATATTTGAACAGACCAAAAATATGTTGTGTATATTTACAGGAACATTATACATTAGCATATGTCATGATATCATGTTTAGACAAATGGTAAGAGGCAGTAATTAAATTAAATTATAATTAAACTTAATAGCAAGCATACTTGTCACAATAAAATTATACAATTCAATTTCTTTTTTATTTACTGTATATGTAGTAAAGGGATGTTATTATTACAAACACTCAGCTCACTTAGGTCACAATCAAACGGCAATTATAGCACCACCCACAGGTGAGGGAGAGAGCGGCGTAACGAGCTCTGCATCTACTAATATGCTGCTTTTTGAATGTTTTATTTTCAATAATTTAAATTAACGAGAACGATAAAACAGTCGTAGGTTCTAATGTTAAACACTTTCACATGCACAAAGAAGCAAAGTCACAATCTTTACCCCTCAGCTAAAGTATAGAGTTAGACTTGATCCCTTGCAGCAGCTTAAAGGGAGAAAGAGAGGATTTACGGAGTGCCGTGTTTCACATGCGTGCACCAGTGATGCAGAGGAATAAACAAACACACACACACAGAAGCTGCGATGGAAGGAGAATGAACACGTGCAGAAACCCACTCGTGGCCTAATTTGCGCGTCACCAAGGATAAAAAGCGTGTTTCCTTCACTCGTTCGTATACACTCCACCAGACGGAGACCAAGATGTTTCAACTGCTCACGTTCCTGGTGGAGAAGCTCTCCCTCCTGTGTAACTTTAAATTGATTCAGTCCAGTTGGCTTAGAGAGGAGCAGGAGGAGGAGCAGCAGGAGGAGCGCGGCGCGCAACGCGTTCCACAGCATCATCCAAAGAGAGGAGACCTGCTCGAAGTCCCGAGAACCATTTTCACCCACTTCGGTATTTACCTGGGTGACAATAAAGTCGCCCACCTGATCCCCGACATCCTCCCCGTGTTCACCAACGACTCGAAGCTCGTCAGCTCCGTCGTCTCCAACAAGAGGCTGATCCTGGGCTGCATTTACAGGTGCGCCACGGTGCGCGTGGACACGCTGGAGGACTTCGCCTATGGCTGCAGCATCTTGGTGAACCGCATGGATCGGGTGATGAACGCGCGTGCCTTTCCCGATGAAGACGTGGCCGAACGAGCGGAGAAGCTCGTGGGGACGATCAAGTACAGTCTGCTGTGGAATAACTGTGAACACTTTGTTACTCACTGCAGATATGGACACGCAGCGAGCCGGCAAACAGAGAAGGTAGTGAACCAGCACCACCTTAGTCTGGTAGACCAGCAGTCTTAGAATAACACACAGGTTAAGTAGTTTTTGGTCATACAGAAATCTCAAAATATTCAATTTCAAATTCCATGAGCAGAAGGATGGAGTGTCCTAAAATAAATGACACATAAAAGCCACGCGTAAAGGCTAAAATTCTAAAATGCTTTTAGCCTTTTCTACTCCATCCAGCAGGAAAAAGGCAGACGTATCATAACAATATTAATAATATGATTTGGACGAGATTAGTGGGCCAGATTAGAAATCCAAATGGGCCGCATCTGGCCCCCAGGCCATAGTTTGCCCATGCCTGTGTTAGATATTGCAGACAGATGGACCCAGTAAAATGTTCTGGGTCTAATAAACCACTAAACTAGTAGAAA